CTGGAAAAAATAAGCATATTTGCAGTAGTGATAAATTCCTAAAACCAACAAGGGAAATTATTTGACAAAAAATAGTCTTAAGCAACTGGAAGAAACTCCGGTCTCTCGGTCGAGGCACGTAGAAGGTGCAAACTGCCACCATCCGCCCCAAGGTAGTGGTAGGAAAGTCGTCACCTCGGCCGTCGGACTGAACAGTCAACTTCCATTTGGTTGAGACCCCTGGAGAAAAAAAGAAATATGTCCAGTAGTTATAAATTCGTTTTAAAACCAACAAGGGAAAATAGCATTAAACATATCCTTAAGCAAATGGAAGTCAAGTGAGTCATATCAAAACCCGGTCTCAAAATGGTCTGCCCAGAACCATGCTTCAAGAATTAAGAAGGCGGAATTCCGCAGCAATTTCTTGCAAACCTTCATCTACCCGAATCGGTTTTGAGCACGTGGCTCAAGTGGTCTCACCCCCCCCAGCGCCCAAAAGGTCGCAGCGGTTCGGAGTTCGGAGCAAAACTCGACTGGGAAAACACTTTCAAGCAGGCACTCTGCAAGGTCTCTTCTGTGCGTTCTTCTTCAGAAACCTCCTGTATCTTCCACCGAGCGTGATTTTCTGCTCAAGCTATTTGGTACGCTTTTGGTGCTTGCGAGTTTTTTTGTTGGCGGGGGCAAACGAAGATTCAGGCTGAAGTGAGAGTTCCAGCTGTTGACTTGCAATTCACCGAATCGCTCTCGGATAGACTGGCGGATAGACTCATCCTGGCTTCTTCGGGGCGCTCGATTCTAGCCTTGCCCCGATTCTGGCTGGTTCTCAGGGAATGAGACATGGAATGAGCCCGACAAAAGCAATGCTGTATGGCTTCCTGCAAGGGAAGCCCGAAGGATTCATTCCCAACACCCGGGGTCATTCTCTGCTGAGCACCAGCAAGAAAAGGGGCCAAAAAACATACCAAGGGAAACTGAAGGGTCATTTCAGGTCGATTCGCTTTGGGCAAGTGAGGGTTATAAAAGGAAACCGCTCTATGAAAAAAAGAACGGGGATCGAAACGAGTGTAGAATCAAGGGCCTGGTCCTAAGTCCAAACTTCACGAAGCCACCCTTTTTCCAATCATGGAGGTGGATTGGGTCCCCAAAAAGGAAAGTCTTTCTCACTTCCAATCGAGTGGGCTGGCCAAAAAAGTGCAGATATGTTGTTTGCCTCTATGCTCCACATCCAAGTCACTAAAGTCCATGTTGAAAACTCGGGGAGCCACAAGGAAACCCTCCGATGGTCAGCTGCCATGATTGGAGGGAGGCTAATAAGCTAAAGCCTGAGACCGGCTCTCTGCCTCACTTCGTTGGGCTGGCTGGCTGGTTGGTCGGCCTAAAGCTAGTACCTTGATTTCCCCTTCCCATCCGAGAGAGGGTCCCACTTTTGTTGGGCCTAAAATAATCGCTGGAAGGGCTTCCGGTTTCCTGCGTCCGAAAGTAAATATGGCTGTGGGTCAGAATATCCCAATCCCCACTAAAATGGGTGGTGCACCTACCCCCATTGGTTTTGACCCACAGCCATATTATATGAGATCCGTGACCATGTAACCATTTCACTCGGCTGGCCAAACCGATCCCCTGCTCGAAGTTTAACTTGTGGGTTGAATTCGGAAGCCCAATCACCAATCACCAACTAAACACCTCTAAAAGCTTGTGGGTTGACTTGTGGCTTAACTTAAGTGCGGTAACTTGTGGGTGAAACCCCTGCAAACAGACCAACTAACACCACCAAACAACCCAAGTTGGGTGAAACCCCTCCAAAAAGACCACCCAAAAAAACACGAAACAGCTCTAAGTTGGGTGAAACCCCAGTTGGGTGAAACCCTGCAACAAGTCCAACTAAAAAACGCCAAACAACCCAAGTTGGGTGAAACCCCTCCAAAAAGGTCACAGGCTGATAAAAAAAACCTGCGGGCGAAAGCTGGGTCACACGTGTTTTCCCCTGGCTTTTCTGCAATTTGTCATCTCTGGCTCACGCTTGGCAGTGAACGGGAGAATTAGGACAGCATTGCTTTCATGCATAAATGGTCAAAAACCCAATGTTTTTTTTTTGCGTAGTTGCAGTTCAATTGCTCGAAAATCTGAACCAACAAGCTGCAGCCGAAGGTCACAGCTGAAATCCTTCCCAATCGGAAGCCGGTGCTCCAAACAAGCTGTGCGTATGGCGAGACACATTAGAGTGAAGCTGGGTTGTTGTATAGACTTGCAATAATTGCCACCCTCTGTCCATACATTGAGCCCCCACTATGCTGCAAATGGGTCGTTTGCGTGCTCTCGTCACAGAGACTCTTCTAGCAAGCTCATGTTTGCTGGGTTGGACATTGGTGGCTCTCCAGACGCTTTTTGCCAGTATCTGCAACCAACATTGGCCATGCATCAACCTGTGTGCACTGGCATGTGTGTTCGTTTCGTAACGACGGTAAACATCCTCCCCCCCCCCACACCCCCCCCCAACCCCCACCCACCCCCATCCCCCACTCACAACTGCAACTCGACATATCATAGCCGAAAAACAAAAAGCACTAAAAGTACCAGGTTTTTTAGCAGCCAGTTTCCTCCAAAAAGACCACCCCAAAAAACACGAAACAACTCTAAGTTGGGTGAAACCCCAGTTGGGTGAAACCCTGCAACAAGTCCAACTAAAAAACACCAAACAACCGAACAGTCCACCCAAAAACGCCCAAAAGTCCACTCGTGGAACCGGAGGCTTCGCTCGGCTCGGCTCGGCTTACGGCTTGCGGCTTGCGGCTTTCTCAGGCTGCGGCCATAGCCGACGGTGGTGGCGGTCGTAAAAAACCACCAGAATGAGTGGAGGATCGACCTCACCCGTCGCTTTTTTTGTCGAACCCAGAGGGTCCCTTGGTACCCTGAGGAGGTAGGGAAACAACACCCGGCAACCGTCACCTCAAACGAAGGTGAAGGGAAAGCTGGTGTTTGTGCAAAACTCTTGTTGGCATGTCTTCAGAGCTACTGCCGGTGGACACAACTCCTGAATCAGTCAGTCGGGATGGATGAAGCCCTGCCAACTGCTGCAAGATGTGTTGCATCCACAGGCAGTACTTATTTGAAGGTATCAGAGCCAGACACTGAGCAAAGGCTTCCCTAGGCTTCCCTATCCCCGAACTTTTGCAGTTGACACATGAACCCTGGGCCGCACACTCTTCAATCTGCAACAAGAACCTAGATGCATCCTTTCGATCACGGGTCACTGTCCAAAGACCTGGTTGAAGGGTGACCACAGCCCAAAATCTAAAGTGCTGGTATCCCGAAAGGCCATAAGCGGCCATAAGGTGTCCGAACCCTGCGCTTCAAGAAATTCATGCAGCAACTCATGCAAAGAGTAGTACAACCCCAAGTCATGTTGTGGAAATGAAGCCCTTTCTGTGATAAAGTTGGATTCCAATGCCCCCCTGCTTTCAAGAAGCTAGGTCCTCCAGATTTGAGAGGTTAGAATAAGTTGGTACCATCCATTATTTCTGGTTTGTCTATTTTAGTAGGGGAACCCTCCCCCAAGAAAGTTGGTGAGAAAGCGCACCTAGCTAGTTGGTACCAACTTTTTTTTCCGGTTTGTCTATCTTAGTAGGGGAACCTTCCCCCAAAAAAGTAACGGTGAAAGGGGACCTAGCTGGGAGACCCAGGAAGCTTCCCTGGGCCTAAAATTGAGTGCCGGAGTGGGCCAAGTCTTGCGAACTCCGAATCGACCGAGTCACTTGCTCAAAACCCGGTAGTAAAATCGTCGTAATCCCAGCATGACTAGAGTTAGGCCCAGTTATAGAATGTATATTCTACTGGTTGCTTCACTTTGAGCACTGGTAACATGTCAAATGTATCCTAAGTCTACCCCAGCCAGAACCATGCTTCAAGAATTAAGAAGGCGGAATTCCCGCAGCTATTTCTGGCAAGGGGATTGTCCCTTAACCTTCATCAACCCGAATTGGTTTTCAGCAAGTGGCTCAACTGATTATGACCTGGCAACTGCAAAATCAATCACTCTGACTTGAAGCAAATGGGGTGTCCTGCTTCTCTCATTTGCCAGCTTACTCCAACAGTTCAGCTCTGAGATTGGAAGTTCTAGCCTGGTATCTCGGATCGGCGACCGGCCAAGTGCCGAATCCCGCTTCCGGCCGACGTCCGATTCGCCCACCTGAAGGGCGAGATTTCAACGTCGTAGCCCATCATCGTCGGCCTCGACATGACCCAAGCTGAAAAGAAGATGTGAGGCTGACTCAATCATGACTAAACTTGGGATATATAAGCACTACATAAGTCATATTCTAACTATTTACGCTATATTAAGCTTGAGCTTGCCCCGCCTATCACCTTGCGCCAAACTGGTGGATTGGATTGGTCTAGCGCGCACGGGGGTACCTTTTCATTTGCCCTGAAGAACCAGGGATTCAAATCCCCAAACCATCAACCCAAACCACCAACTAAGTTGTAAAAACCACCGGTTAGTTGGTTGATATCCAAGACAACTCACAACACAAAGTGGGTGTCACATTAATCCACAAGTGTCCCTGGGTTTAGTGGGGAACCATCACCTTTGGACAGGAAGTTGATTAATATGGGGTCAATCTACCACTGGACAAATTTGGGCCCAGTTCCTCCCAAAAAGCAACACGTCTCTGCCTCTCTAGGGACATCGGTGCGTCGAAACCCGGCAAGCGGCAGAAAACGCGCACCCGGATGCGCCATGAAACAAATCAAACACCGCCTGGTACCGTTTGATGCTTTGGTATTGAGAGGATGGCCATTGCACAATAGAAGTGGACAGGATATGTTTTTGTGAAAGTGACAGTAATCTTCCAAAATCCTCCTGTCCACTTTTTCAATTATTGTTGGACAGAGGGCACCCTTTGCTACCATTCTCCCTTGCGACCTTTTTGAACTACTGCAAGCTCTTCTGATGGCCTGCAGAAATTACCAGCTGACAGCCACACATACCTTAGTTGCCCAGTGAGCCTATGTCTCCGTCGAAGCTTGGTTAGAGTCTTCGCCTAAAGTCAAGAAATAGAGGGCAAAAAGCAAGCTCAGAAACAGTCACACAAAAGGAACACCGTCAGCGCGCTGTCTCAAGCGGTGTTGAAATCTTGACCGTGCAGGCTTAGGCGGGAGCAACTTAACAAAACGTCCATTTGGTATAAGACCCCTGGATAAAAAATAAGACATGTTCAGTGGTGATAAAATCATGTTAAAACCAACAAGGGGAAACACAACAAAAAAACATATTCTTACGCAAATGGAAGAAACGACGTGCAACAAACGCCTCCGTCCATTTGGTTGGGATGGTCGAAAGTCAGCTTTCGCAAGCTCCCGATGCAGAAAATCAGGATCTATCTTTGTTGGGGGTTGACAGGTACCCTGGGAAATCTGACCAACAATTGATAGGCTCGAAAAGGCATGAGAAGTGGAAGACACACGTCAGAGGTTCAGCATCATGTAGCAAGGTATCTAAGAATGCACTGCAGGGCGTGAAAACTCGTGCTGTCACTCCATCAAAGTGACATTCTCATAAAATCGCCCTCCCTTTTGGTGGTTTAAAGGAAAACCTCCAAACGCAATCTGGAGAACACCTCAACATGCAGCACTTTCAAACAAAAACACACTGAGTGTCATTACCCATTCCAAGCAAACTCCAGGCTGCGGGTCCCGATGCTCCTGGTCTCTCTCGCGCTCTTGATCGATCGACCCGCCTGATGTAGACCCCGAGGGGATGCCTCAGATATCGTTCTTCGATTCTTCGATGGGTAGAAAAATCAGGAGCCCGGGAGTACCCCGAGGGGATGCCTCAGGCGTTCTTCGATGGGGGAATCAGCCCGGGAGTTGGGCAACCACTTTCGGTGGTTTCCATACCGAAAAAATTCGCAGCCAAGGACCTGGGAACGAAGCGTCTTGTTGATCCCCAAGGAAGCCACCCGCATGGGTCAGCTCGCGTGGCGTTGCTCATTCCTAGCTGGCCAGCAAGAAAAATGGACCTCCTAAGCCGCAGGTCAGATGCCACGCAAGCACCATGAAGGAGGGAGCTGACCAGTTGAGACAGTTGACTTAGCAACAAAAACATAAATTTCGATTTTTTACAGTTGCATTGGCTTTTGGAAAGTGAATGAGCAGATTGGCCTTTGACTCTCATGTCAAATTCTGGCAGAAGATCCACCGAATCATTCCAGAACACCGGAAGAGCGTCATTCGACAGAGTCTCTTGGCCCAATTCGGAGGTGCAAATTATCACAGGACCACCAAGAACCATCATTGCTGGAGGATTGTCCATTAACAAAGAGAGCCCTTTTTCTAGGCTGGAATTAGGACCCCAGCAAAAAAACATCTTTTTGGCCTGGTTAGTGGAAAACAAAGGGGACCCCAAAAAAGCAAAAAAAAAAAAAAAACGAAAAAGGGGAACTAATTCATTTTGAGTTCCATGCCAATCTGCGGCAATCTCCAACCACAAACCGGCAAATTGACCTCCATTTCACCTGTCTGGCCTCGAAGCTGTTTGGAAGCTCACGACGGCGCGGTCAGAAGGAACTCACTTGCGCAAAGGACCCAGAAATAAAAGGCTAACCTTTTGGGGCCATGACTAAAAATGCACCAAAACTGGAAAACCAAAAGGTTAAAAGGTCGGCTTTGGGCAACTGAGGGAAAGCAACGAGACTGGGACTCACTGTCGCTTCACCCGAATTGCTCGACCACACGCTTGTCAATTTGACGCAAAGGAATTCACTCCACTTCTGACCGAGTGGACTGGCCGGGAAAGACTACTGGCTTTTTGGTTGCCACTAAAAGGGGTCGTCCCAAAAAGTGAAAAGTCCATACACTCAGGGACTGAGACAGGTCCTCCAGTAGAGAGGTTAGAATAAGGCTACCCTTTTTTCTGTAGTCTATTTTAGTAATTTTTTGTAGGGAACCCTGCCCCCCAAAAAAGGGGAGAGAAGGGCACTACTGGGGGGCCTAGATAAAAAGTCCATACATTCAGGGAGTGAGATTCCGAAGACACCGTGAAACCACGGGCTCGCATGATACCTGTGAGGGCGCTATGTCCAACACCCGACAGGGAAAAGGCGGGGGGCGGGGTCAGCTTCTGGGGCCATCGCCTTCCATTGGCGGCGTCAATGCCGCCCAGTGAAAGGCCGGATAAGAAAGACCCTGCGGCCATAGGAAAGCAAGGCCTGATGTGTGTCTTCATGGCGCCTGGGGGTATCGTTTTGTTTTTTTGTTTTTTTGTCTTCCTCTGTATCGGTTTAGAATGGTTTTGGCCTGGAAAACAAGTTCAGGGACGGCCCCTTACACAACGAAAAGGCGCGGGGTTGTTTTTTCTCAGCCCACATGACTTTGTTTGGTCGATGTTTGCCACGAACCTTGAGGTTGGACGCACAAATGCAACTTGAGCGGTGCCCAAGTGCTTGATTCTTTCAAAGGGCAACCCCCTCCGCCGTTTTTCTTGCTGCACAGTAGGGAATGAGGGAATGAACCTGGGGGTCCCCTCAAAGGAAACCACTCGTTGGATGGTTGTTAGGGTCATTCCCTCATTCCCTAGCGAGCACCAGCAAGCTTTTTCCAGTTCTTTGCCCCCAGCTTCATGCACCTCAGTTCAGCCATGCCGTTTCTGTTTGCCAAGGAAACCACCCGTGGGATGGTCGTTCTCGGGGGCGCCTTCCAGCGAGCGAAAAGAAGCTGAGCTCCCGGCGCCTCTTGAAAGTGGTCCACCGAGTAGTGCGTGCCCTCGGCGAACCAAATGCATGACCTCAGTCGCGCCCGGGCGAGCGGCTCTCGGAAAAAAAAAAAAAATGAGGCTCCGAGTGACGTCTGTTCAGCCGGGTGGTGGTGCTTGGTCTGTTCAGCCAAATTTGGGTGGTCCGATGGATTCATCCAGGGTGGTGATGTTCCGGTCTCAAAGTGGGAGTCGGATATCTTAAGTTGGGATGTGTTTGCTTTTAAACAAATAAATGTGGGGCAAACCAAAACGAAACCACCCACCCTGAAGGAATGGGCGATGTGGCGATGTGAGAGTGGAGTGTTTCTCAAAGCGCGCCGACCAGAGGAGAGGGAGGGAGACAGCGTGAGCGAGAGAGAGATAGGCGGTCGAATGGGCTCTAACAAATGGGTTCCTGCCCGATGCAAAGCACACATGATGGCGCAAGCTGAAAAAAAAAAAACAGAGACCAAAACCACTGGGTGTTTTTTAGTACCACCCCCCCCCCCAAAAAAAAAAAAAAGAAACACATTTGACTCTGTGTGTGTGTGTGCGGTGCACTTGCATGTGTCATTGTTTTGCCTGTAACTGTGGATGATATGGTGACCAATCGTATTTACAACGTCTTCCCACAAAGCCTACCAAAGACTAAAAGCCTAAGGAACCGGAGCCACCAAGAACAATTCACTCTCAATCCAAGCGTACCTTTGGATTGTGCTTCTAGGGCCAGGTAGAAGCATGGTTCTCTGGAGTTGGTTTCTTAAGTTGTTTTTGTTTGGAGTAAAAAAAAAAATAAAAATAAAACTAAATAGAGATTGCCCCCAAACAACAAGTCGTCTTCTGTCTTCCATGCCTTCCTGAGAGCTTCCAATGGATATCTAGGTTCTCCAGTAGAGAGGTTAGAAAAAGGATACCATCTTTTTCGGTAGTCTATTTCAGCAGGGGAACCCTCCCCCAAAAAAGGGTAAGAAAGGGCACCTAGCCGGGGGACCTAGATATTTTGGGGCGACCCCGGTTTCCGCTGTTCGCTTCTCGACGCGGGGCACGGGACGAAAACTGAGGGCCCGGGCGCGAGTAAGACACACATCAGCACCGTCAAAGAAAAAACCGAGATGATTCCTGGGGCGGAGTCAACTTGGTGCGATAGGAAATGACCGAGTCCAGGTGTTGGGAATGAATCTAAGATTTTTTCATTGAAGGAAACCACCGGTTGGATGGTGTATAGGGTCATTCCACTCCTCAAGCAGTCACCCACCGGTTCCAACAAAATCCGGCTGTTGGCCCTACCCCGAGCCGTCCGCCCCAACTTGGGCGGGGCTGCTTGAAGAAATCTTGAAGACCTCACTTCGAATCGAGTGGCTTGGCAGAAGAAAAAAAAGGAGGTCCCGGAACTTCCTGATGTGGCACCGATATATGGGCATGGGTCAAAATTAAACCACCAGGATATGGACCGCAGGTTTTGGTCCATGTTTCCATTTACCAGGGCAAGCCATTGTGGGTAGATATTTTGTTTAACAACCACAGCCATGTTGTCGTGCCAACATTCATGAGGTCCACCAGCAAGGAGAGCGAAAGACCGGCTTTCAGCCCTGCCATTGGGAGGATTGTTCGGTTCCTTGGTGCGCCAAAAGCAATTTAGAGTTGAGAAAGCAGAAAGGAATCAACAAATGGATCTCCCGCATTTGGGATACTCACAGAAGGTATAATCAAGAAAAACAGATTCTGTTTCGTATTTGTCTACCCTGAAAATCAAAAATAGCTTTGGAGACCGGATGGTATGGATACTTCCTGAACCCTTCTTCCAGAGAAACATCAGAAGGCAACCACCCACAAGCCCAACGTGAACCCTGATCCAAGACGCAAACAATAAAGATCAGTAAATGGCCGGGACTGATCCTAAATACTGATTCTCAAGGCTCCATTGAATGAGCCTCTCATCCATCCTCGTGTTATCGCCAACACCCGTGCGAAGGGGCAAATGTCTTGCCTTTTTTCGTTTGGTAAAAAAAAAGACGCCAAGCCATGCCAACCCTCTTTCTGTCAATGGGTCTTGCTCCAATGGTCGCATGTCGTGCGCACCAGCTGCGATCTAAGAGAACCGACCAGGGGCCAAGAGTTGCGTCTCATATGTAAATCAGCAACCTCGAAACCCAGCCACCCCACGTTGCCCCTTTGTCACATGTCCTCACACGAGTTTATACTCCTGCCCCTCAGTGCTAAATCAAAAATGATCAACAAAAAAGTGGAAAGGGAATCCTTTGAGGCCCAATCGGCTCATGCGCAGTCACCTGA